AAGGAGATTTCAAGCCAATAGGATTTCGGATGTCTTAAAACTTATACATACGGATATTTGTGGGCCATTCCCTACAGGTTCTTGGAATGGTCAACAATATTTTATAACGTTTATAAACGACTTTTCAAGATATGGCTACATATATCTCGTTCATGAAAAATCACAATCACTGGATGTGTTCAAAAATTATAAAGTCGAAATTGAGAACCAACTCAGCAAAAGGATTAAAAGCGTCAGATCTGATCGTGGGGGTGAATACTATGGCAGATATGACGGTTTAGATAAACAACGTCCAGGACCATTTGCTAAATTCCTAGAGGAATGCAGTATTGTCCTATAGTACACTATGCTGGGTTCACCCACTATGAATGGTGTTGTTGAGAGACGAAACAGAACGTTTAAGGACATGGTAAGGAGTATGATTAGTCATTCTACCTTACCAAAATCTCTCTGGGGTGAAGCATTAAAGACAGTAGTGCATATAATCAACAGAGTTCCAACTAAGGCCATTGATAAAACTCCATATGAGCTTTGGACGGGCAAGAAGCCTAGTTTAAAGCACATACACATTTGGAGGTGTCTAGCTGAGCAAGGCCCTATAAGCCAAATGAAAAAAAATGGACACAAGGACCATCAGTTGCTATTTTGTTGGATATTCTGAAAGGTCCAGGGTTATAAGTTTTATGATCCCACAACTAATACAATTTTCGAGGCAGGAAATGCTCGGTTCTTTGAGGATGTTGAGTTTGTTGTGGGGAGGGGGGAGGAGGAGGAGAAAGGGTCACATGCTTTGTCTTTGAGGAGGAATATGTTGAAATTCCTCCAATTGTCATTAACAATGACTAGGTTTCTATCCCTGACATTGTTCAAGAAGCAACTCCGGATCAAGACAATGTCATACACCCCTCTCAAGATCAACAAATCGTTCTAGAATAACAAACTCCACAGCCTCAAGAACCAATGCCATTAAGAAAATCCACTAGAGAGTGGAAAATTGCAGTTTCAGATGATTACATCGTATTTCTCCAAGAACATGAAGTTGACGAAGATGATCCGATCAACTTCCGTCAAGCCATGGAAAGTTCTAACTCTTAAAAGTGGTTCGATGTCATGAATGAAAAGATAAATTCTATGAAGGACAATGACGTATGAGACCTCGTTCCATTGCCTGAAGGTGCGAAACTCATTGGTTGTAAATGGATATTTAAGACCAAGAGGGATTCGAATGGTGATGTAGAGAGGTATAAGGCTCGTCTTGTCGCAAAGGGCTTTACACAGAAAGAAGGCATCGATTATAAAGAGACTTTCTCTCCAATTTCTTTGAAAGACTCTTTCAGGACTATAATGGCGTTGGTAGTACATTTCGATCTTAAGTTACATCAGATGGATGTTAAGATAACATTTCTCAATGGTGACATTGATGAAACAATTTATATGGTACAACCAGAAAACTTTGTATCAGATGATGCAAAGCAGATGGTTTGTAAACTAAAGAAATCCATCTATGGACTCAAACAAGAGTCTCGTTAATGGTATTACAAGTTTCATCAAGTGATCATCTCATTTGGTTTTGAGATGAATTTGGTCGATGATTGTATATACCACAAGTTCAGTGGGAGCAACTATATTTTTCTGGTTTTATATGTCGATGACATATTGCTTGCCAGCAATGATATAGGCTTACTGCACGGAACCAAGAGATTTCTAGCAAAGAATTTTGAGATGAAAGATCTTGGTGACGCCTCTTTTGTATTAGGAATTCGGATACACCGAGATCGTTCTCGGGGTATTCTTGGATTATCACAAAAGAGTTATATCGAAAAGGTACTTAAAAGATATGACATGCAAGATTGTAAACCAGGTGACACCCCTGTGGTTAAAGGAGACAAGTTCAGTTTAAGTCAGTACCCTAAAAATGACTTGAAAATTAAAGAAATACGGAAGATTCTTTGTTCTTCAGCTATAGGGAGTCTAATGTATGCTTAGATTTGTACGCTTTCGGATATAGCGTACATTATTGGGATGCTAGGGAGATATATAAGTGACCCGAGAATGGATCATTAGGAAGCAGCCAAATGGCTCAAACAGTATCTACAGAGAACAAAAGACTATATGCTCACATATAGGAGATCGGATCAGTTGGAGATCATCAGTTATTCTGATTTCGATTTCATGGGATTCCAAGATAGTAAGAGATCCACAGCTATAAGGCATCAAATCATGGAATATGGCTACGTAACTTTGTCATTGGGCTGCGCATTGTGGACGATATAGAAAGATCGCTCAAGATATTTTGTAACAATAAATCAGCAGTGCTATATTCCAATAACAACAGGAGTTCGACGAAGTCAAAAACATATAGAGATCAAGTTCCTGGCTGTTAAAGAAAGTATTCGGAGTGGACATGTGTCAATAGAGTACATTGTGACAAACTCCATAGTTGCGGATCCACTTACTAAGGGATTGATACCCAAGGCCTTTTATGAGCACACTGCTCATATGGGTATAATGTCTCTTGAAGATATTTAGTTTCAGTGGGAGTTTGTATTTTTGTTTTTCGCATTGGACACATGTACTGTTATTTTGGATATGATTTATGGTTAAAGTTATTTTTAGTTATTTGATTTATTATCTCTGAATTTGTTTAAAATGATTTTACCAAGGTAATAAGGTGGACCAATTGGAAATAGGCATGTTATAGATCACATCATATGTAATTTTCATACTACACATCCATGCTTGATCCATGTCATTCGATCGTATCGATATATGTGACCATTGATAGGTTTAGATACATGAAAGTAGCAAAAGTCGCTTTGATCCTATATTGATATGATTGATGACGGGATTGTTTGGGGATGCATTCAGTAATGATAGTAAAATTCTGAGTACTCATAAGGTTATGTTTAATGCACAATTATAAGGTGACACATATAACCCAAGTGGGAGATTGTAAGAATTTTTTAATCAATAGATGGGTTTATATGTGTGAATAATCGTGTGTTAAATTAAAGGCTATTGAATTCAGTTAAGTCCAGTTAAAAGTGATCTAATAAGGCTTCGATTTTGGGCTTTAATGTATTCAATTAAAGTGTGGGTTCTAAATGTGTAGAGACCGGGCCCAAATCCTAATTCTATGATGGGCCGAATTAGTTCAAAGGGTATCGCTATATAAATACGGTTATGGTCCTCAAATCACACGTATCTTTTGCTCATTCTATTCTATCTCCCATCGCCAAAGAGAATTACGGGGTGCGTGTAGATTTGGAAGATTATACTGCATGATTCATTATTGCAAATAACCATATTTGATTCAGGTACGCTTCCGCTATAGGTCTTCAATTTCTTGATGATTTAACATAAAAAATCCGGTGGTTTAAGATAATAAATTATCTTACATGAATGTGATGGTGCCAAATCATGATTGTCGACCATCATTATAATATAGCATGATTTAAGTAAGTAATGGTTGAAAAAGAAGGATAGAAATTTTGAGACAGAGCCAAAGAAATGTGTACAGTATTTGGAAACAAAGAATTACACAATCATTATCTAACATGTCCATTAAATTTCTTGAAAATCACATAATCATGTCAAGTGCGATTTTTGAAATCTTATGTTTGGCAAGTATTTATTAACATGCTTATAAAAGACTTATTAGAAGTTGAAATTCACAAAATTCCACGAGACACGATTTTACCACTTATCTATTTATCATTTTTGTCATAAACATTTGCCAAACATGTGCTAAGTTAAGAATTATTGACTTTTCTTGTTATTTCAAGTAAAAAGAATTCGAACATTTGCTCAAATGTGACAATATTTTGGCTGGCTGATGGTATGCATATGTTTGAAGTTTCGCAATTATCTGAAGTAACAGTACTTTTAACATCCAAGACTGTTGTTGATAGATGATTAGTGTATTTAGAAATCTATGCATTGGAGAAAGAACAATAAAATACTATAGATAAAAAATTGTGTTCATTGAGACTTTTGTTTTCGAATAAACTTATCATATCTAGGTATTTAGATATGAATCATGCTATATGTACATCTAGGTTGGAGATGTTAACGAGTTGAGATGAATCGAAACTACAGGCTCAGACTTGGTTCAAATAAAAATAGTTTGAGCTTTTTTGTCAGAACTGAGCTGAGTTTTTCTCGGCCAGGAAATTTAAGTTCGACCTGAGCTTTCGACTTGAACCTTATCGAGCCGAGTCGACTTACGATTTTTTTTTACCTACAGGCAGCTAAGCTTGTAGACCTGCAAGTCAGGCAGCAAGTGCAAAGGCAGCTAAGCCTCTGGGCAGCATGTAGCTGCCTGCTATTAGTTCTGCCTATAATAGGTAGCGACTTGCTGCCTGAGTTTTTATAAGGCTCATTTTTTCATGGTCCGAAAATGGCTCGTGACACAAGCTGGCTCGTATCAGGCCAAGGCCCCAGAATGGGGCTAGGCCAGAGCCTTGGCTCGGTAGAACCTAGTCGACTTGAGCTTTTTTTGGTCGAGCCACGAGTCGATGAGCCAAATTGACACTCCTAATCAGGTTGACACCTAATTTGATACCAATGTGAGTTGACAGATTTTTAGACATTAATATTAACAACAAATTTTTTTTTTTTCAAACAATAGTGATATTTTTGGCTTGAAGGGTGTCAAACAATGTGTATACAATGGTTGTACACCTAGCTTAATTCTTTAAATATAGATATTCAGGAGTTCGTTTGGTCTAATATCGTATGTTTATTGTTTGTTAGGCGAAAATCAATGTTTATAAGCAAAATTGAAATAAAGGAACGAAAACGGAGGAAATTGCAATGCTCATTAACAAAGTTCTTGGATGTCAAAAGTATTGTTACATGATAATTGCGAACATCAAGTTATACATGTAGCATAAACCAGCCAAATTGTAACGCTTGAACATTATTAGAAATCTTTTAAGCTCAAAATACTAAGAAAAACCAAGAATTATGTGCTTCTAGTGGTCCAACCAAAAGGAAATTTATTCACTTTCAGTAGCACTTGATATGATTCTATGATTTTCGAGAAAATTAATGAAATTATCTATGTAACGGTCATGTAACTTTTTATCTCCAAATATTCCACTCATTTCTTTCGCTTTATTTCGGAATTTCTTTCCCTCGAAGTTGATCATTACCAACTTTATCGAGTCTGAAACCGAGTTCCTTGTAAATGATCCATCTTCATCATTTCTCGGGATTTCTATCCCGAACTGCTTGTCAGCAACGATTCTAGCATTCAGACCCTGATCTACCTGAAAAGGTAAGGCAATCAAGGGATGACCAAAAATGAGTCCTTCTATAAAAGAACTCCAACCACGGTGAGTCAAGAATGCACCCACCGAGTCATGGTCAGTATCTTCAACTGAGGTGCCCAACTCTTCCATACCATACCCCGATCCTTAACTCTCTCCTCGAACCCGTCTGGCAAGACCACCTCGTAGGATTCGCCAAACCCCGATGGCTTCCTCAACGCCCAAAAGAAGGGTACCCCAGATAATTCCAATCCAAGAGCTAACTCATGGAGTTGATCTTGACTCGGTGATACCTCACTCCCTAATGCAACGTAAACAACTGAAAGTTCATTTTGATCATCAAGCCACGCTTTGATTGAAACCCACGATTGACTGTTATCTTCTTTTACCTGGGGTGGCATTAAACCTACAGGAATCACTGGCCTTTTGTGAATCTCTTCGAGTAATTTCAACCAAATGGATTCAAACTCGTTGCAGTGTCTTATGAAAATAACCTCGGAACCATCAATTACCTTACCACCTCGATAAGAATCAGAAAATCCTGAGTCATTCGTCTGAGTTGCTCTGACAAGCCAGTTTGCTTCGTATCTTCGATAAGACAATTTTGTCTCAAATCGAATCCACTTTGGTGGAATCATGAAATCTTCTGCTTTTTTCCTTTCATCAGAACCGTTAATCATGGTCTCTGATGGTCCAAAGAAAGCTAAAAACCAAGCGTTTATGATCCTGAAATAGGCACGAGAAATTCCAAGTCTTGCTGCAACTGGAGGCAACCAGTATGGAGCAAAATCATAGAGAATCCAGTCTGGTAGTGAATTTTCCAAGAAACAAGTCAACTCAGCTTCCCTTCCATCAAATGCTTTCTTCAAATGAGGTATATATTCATTTTTTATGTCCATGGTTGCTTCTGCAGATTCAGGGAGCCCTTCAACTTTAGGTAATGGAATCTTAAATAGGGTTATGGAAGAAATTAAATGAGGAGGGATTTTTGGGAGGCGATCTATATTTCTTGGAGTAGAAACAAATGAGATTTTGTGACCTCTGTGAGCTATGAATTTGGAGAGCTCAAAGAACGGAATTATATGCCCAAAACCCAGCCATGGGAACATCACTACATGTAATTTGGAAGTTTTGGCCATGGTTCTGGATTCCATTGTTGCAGGAATTTTGACTAGTTTGGAATTGTACAGAGTATGAGTTGAGTGAGTGATTAGTATTATTTATTCACCCAATTTAAAGAAGCATCTAACAAGAGCACGTGCATTAGATTAATATTATTATTTCTTCCAGCTTAAAATAAGGATATAACCGGAGAATTATCTGATTTCGTGATTCTTTATGAAAATGGAGTACCTGACGTTGATACTTATAGAGATTAAAAGAATTTCTAATTCATATCTCCACACTAGAGAAATCTTGTGATCGAGACCCATTGACAAAGTAAAAACCACGTGTTTTCTTACTTTCTTGTCAAATCGTCTTTAAGTTTGTTGTTGGACCATTTTCTCACACAAACTAGAACTAAAAAAAATTAAAAATATGGAAAAATTGTGTGAGATACAATGGAGGTTTGACTATTGGCGGGCTAGATGGTCCATTTTCACGAAGACACCCAAAATAAATTCTTATGTATGGTTCATAAAAATTACAAATAAAATAAAGTCTAAGTCAATCAAGTCAATTCAACTGTCCAATTAACAAACATACTAATTTTTAATTAAAATATAAATATTAGGTTTGATCAATCTTTAACTGTAGGAGTCTTAAAGCTCAATTATGTAAATATCTCAATAATCCAATTAAAGTATATATATATTTTTTTGGTTCCTCCATAATACTTTAGGGCAATAACTGTTTGGTGAATTACTATCATCATCATCTTAATCGAATCTTGTCCCTTTCAACTTCGACTTTTTAGTCTTTCAAGCAACTAGTTTAACTTTTCAAATACGTACGAAGTATTAATAGATTTTATGAACGAAAGAAAATATATATAAAAAACAGAATTTAATTCTTTTAGATAGTTTATTTAAAAACTCTACCCATATATTTTATAAAATAGACATTACCCTTTCTCTGATTGTTGCGTTTCTTTCAGATGTATCTTGGATTAGTTGAATATTTGACGAAAGAGCAATCGTTGGACTTTATTTGTAAACTATCTATTCCTCAATAATCAAAATCCAAAGAAATATGAATTAGCTCATGCTTGTCTAGCCAAGCAGATAAACGAATGTACATCTTTTTTTATCTTTATATTTTTAGCTATAATATTTCACATTCTCAATCAAATTTATGAAGATTAACACACTACTTGTTATTTTTAGAATTCATCAAACCCGATAGTACCCATTTTATGAACGTATAATCACAAAATCACTCGATCATGATTTTCCTACCCTGAAGAGAAAAGTACTTCAATTTTTTGTCGATTGTGGACAAGGAGAGATGTGAACCCATGACATTATGGTTCATAGCCACTTGTTCTAATTCTCTGAGCTATAAGCCCCACCTGTTCCACAACCCCATACGCTTTCGCTTTTATGTGTCTATAAAAGTGTAATTATAGTAAATTTTTGGTCGATTTAATTATCAGGTGCTTCCAAGCACACCAATTTTCTATATATAAATCAAAATACAAAATGGAAGGCTTGTTCAATTAATGTAAAATGATTGAAACTTATGCTATTATCACAAACGCTTTGGGAAAGTCAAGTTGAAGTATTAAATCAATAAAATTTCAAACCACATGAATAAAAGCCGCTTTATAACACTTGACAGAAACATATGATGACCTTAATGCATTTAGAGATGCTAAAGATAATGTTTTGACATTATGAATTTGAGTTTTTGCTTGACATGATTATTTGTTACAATATATATCAATTATTAATAGAGTAAGTAAAATATTACAAAGTGAGTAGATATCTATTGATGCTATTTTTAGTTACTTGAAAGCACTTATTCTACTTTTGGAAATATATCATGAAATTAAATTTGAATGATACAATTATTGCTAAAGAAATTATTCGTAGAAAGAAGCATTTCGATGAAAATTTTAATGATGAGATAACACATTCAATTGAAAATTTTTTAAAAATTGATTATTTCTTATATATGTTGATTAGGCTCTTTCTTCACTTGAGTGAAGATTTGAACAATTTAAAAAAAATAAAAAAATCAAGAATGCATATGATAATTCTTTGCAGTATTGGTGTGATAAATTTGAAGAAATTTTTAAGCACGATGGTAATTTGATATTATTGGTGGTGGGGGTGGGGGTTTTAATTTTGGACTACAAACTTGAGAAATTATTTGACGATTGAATTGCTAAACCATATTAAAATGATGGACTGTTATTTTTCAAATTTATGGATTGCTTGTAGGATATTATCAACTAAGCTAGTTACAATTACATCTGTTGGGAATAGCTTTTCAAAGTGCAGTTGATAAAATCCTACATTTGATTAACTATGACATAAGAAATGTTGAATGGATTGGTCATTGTCTCTATTTATTGAAAAGAAGTTGTAAAAAATAAATTGAATATAATAGTATAATTGTTGATTTTCTATCAAAAGTATAGAAGATTAAATTTAATTTAGAAATTTGAAAACTATGAATTATTATTTATATATATGAGGACCATAAATGAAGTTAGCATAAGATCACTAAAATTTTAGGACTGGCTCTAGTGAGGTACGATACAAACATTCAACTTAAAGTCGATGATTATAACTAAAGAGAAATCCAAAGTTCATATGTTGTTTCAAGTTTGTTTTAGCCCCATTTTCTTTTGAGAATGTATTTTGAAATAGTAGACTGATAAAAAACGTGTAGTTAAAAATAAAATAAAAATTCTGAATTTACGTTTAATATTATTTTATTGAAGAATGTGAGGTTGAAAAGAAGAGAGAAAAATACTTTATATATAAATAATCGAGATAGGACTTCGTCTTCAATTTCTCTCTACCAAAGTAGGGTTTTGTCTTCAATTTTTTTCTATAAATTCTCTATTTGAGTCAAAAGAGGGTTGGAGCCTCTCTACGATATTAGGTTTTTTGGGTCTTCAATTTCTTCTATAAATTCTCTATTTGAGCTAAGAGAGGGTTGGAGCGTTTTTCTATGAGGGGATTTATTTGAGAGATTTGATACTGAGTGAAAGGCTAAGGGTGAAGTTTTGTTGTAAGGGAAAATTACATCTACAAAGATATTTAATATTTTTAATTCAAAAATTAGGTTTAAGGTTATCAGGTTATAATTCCATATAATAATAATAATAATAATAATAATAATAATAATAATAATAATAATAATAATTAAATTGACATACTCACACATATTATATCCACCCCATTCAAACTCTAAATCATTTTCTCCCTGCTCCCTCCCTATTCTTTCTTCTCTTCCTTCTCCTTTCACGTCTTTCACTTCAGCAAACCGTGCTGCCATTGGAGGAAAACTCCATTTCACTTCAAATCTATTTTCATTTATTCTTATTCATTCTCTTGCTACCTCTTCAGTCTTCCCTACTCTACATACATATCATTTCTTAATTGGAGCTCCGACTAGGGATCTAGAGGGCTAGCAAGAGATATGGCTACTGAGCACCATCTTAACTAGAGCTCTGGCAGCACACAACGGCTCGCTCATCCGTCATAGTAGACCAACTCCATTTTGCGTGATGCACAATGGACATAGGGAATGAGTTTGAGATTCATTACAATATTTTTTGAAACCAAATGCTTTCTGTAGTTTCAATTTTGGCTTTCAAAAATTTTCTATAGTTGGTGATGTTTATGGTGTGGTGGTGTTTGTAGGTGGTTTTTTGTAGTTTGCTTCTTGTTGTGGTCGTGCAGTGATTTTGGCTAGGTGGTGTCAACAATCGTGGCTTTGGGGATTTCTTTGGGTGGCAATTATGGTTGTGGTGTGGTAGATGGAGGGCTGGTGGTTGTGGTGGTGTTGATGGCGAGACTGAAACATTGGTGGTGGTGAGAAGGTAATGGTATTGACAATGATGGTGAGGTGATGCTGTTGACACGCTAAAAGTGCAGTCTAAATCGAATAGCTCAAAGAATGAAGCCCAACTGGGCAATTCAGGATAAAGGCCCAAATAGGGTTATTAATGAATGCAATGGAAGCCCACGAACGCGGTAACACCATCGTTCAAACTTGCAAGACGCCCAAGATCTGAGCGAATGAAGTGTCTTGCAGTCACCCAGAGTTATGACCCTGTTCTCGCCCAAACCTTCGAATCGCCCAGAATCTTAGCAAACATAAGATGGTATGGTTACCCAAAAGTGCAGTTATCGAAGCAATTATTGAGTAATATTGTCACGTTCCACGATTCAAGGAGTTCAGTTGAAGACGGTTGAACGACAAAGAGTAGTGGCAGCAGTTAGAGACGGCAGTTCCACGATAAGTTGGCCACCATGAAGAAAATGGGCAATTATAAAGCAATTAAGTAGTTTCTAAGCAGTTGATCACGAAGACATCATCAAGGGAATATAAAAGGAAGAAAAGACATAGAGCAAAGACCCCGAATCAAACACTCTCAAACAGAGAATATGTAATTTCAATTTCTTAGTTTAGACTTAAACATTTCTTTTCAGTACTCGTGTGCTTGCGCCCCTTGGAGGCATTCTGCTTAAGTTCCAATTGTAAAGTCAGCGTCAATAAAACACCCCTTTTTGGGACTTTGTTTCAAGAGATTTGTTCCTTACACAATCGTCTTATCCCTTTCTAATTATTAGCAACTACTCGCGCGAAATAATTTGGCACGCCCAGTGGGACCTTGGTGTTTGGTGTTGAAGATACAAAAGGTGAAACAATATGCCTCAGAAATCCGATAAGGAAGCAGCAAGTCAAGGAGGAGTCCAGTCTGTGATAGAGCAATATGAGGAGCAGCATAGCTCTCCACGAACAGATGGACAGAATCAAAGCAATCATAGTCGTTACGAACTAATGACAGAGTTGAGTCCTCGAACCATGCATGCATTACTCGAAGAACTCACACAAGATGTTGTTGAACAGGTAAATCTACGAAATATTCATAATATGGAAAGATTTACCCAGAATGAGAATACACATTATGACAACATGGCCAAACAACTGAATACTTTGAACAAGATAATGAATAAGTTAGTAGGCCAAA